AAAGCTGTTTCTGATGTGTCTTTGCTGCAGGCCAGTGGGCTGATGGCAGTGAAACATAGCGAAACCCGAGGCTCGGTGGTTTCAACAATGGAAGAGAATAATGAAACAAGTGGTGTCCCATAGATATAACGGGTAGTTTGTGACTAGTAAAAAGTACAGCTCGGGCGTATGGTAGATATATCTATAGCTAACGGAGTTAATAAATCAACAAACCTAAGTGAGGGGACTTAGGTACCTAATTGCCCTGAAGTTGTTAGAACATCACTTTGACATAGGTTGGCACTCCCATTTTGAACTGGCTATCTGCTAGGATGCCGCCGCAGTCACCATGGCCGATCTTGGATACCCTGCACGTGTTTTTTAGCCACTTAATATACACCTCCATCCGTAGCAAAAGATTAACTTGCAGTAAAGTACGATTCCATGATGGTGAATCAAATCATCATCCATTTGTTAGCATATTAGTTGACAATTATTACGTCTGAAACGTACAAATCATGGCGGATCATCATCGAAACTGGAAAATAAAAAATATCCTCCTGATATTTACATAGCTCAGCTATGCTGAAAGACCAATATTCTTTGGCTATTTGGATTGACTGCGAACTCTAGTTTATCTGAGGGCAGTTGAAACCACCAACCAGAATTATTGTCTATTAATCCTCCAAGATATGACCCATCAGTTGCAACAACTAGGATGTGCTAAGAACCGTATCGCATCATAACCCAGGCAAAATAATATCCACTTGCAACATATCATATGATATATATATATATATATATACATCTATACATGAAATACATGGCTCAAACCAGTACAGCACATCTAACACCGGAAGACGTATCTATCAATATGATCTAATATTTGCAACATTCTGAAGTTCTGTGCATGTCTATAAACATGAATATACATGAGTGTATAGACAAAAATGTAATTACAGCGTTTTTAATTATACAATAATATGTATATATATATATATATAGATATACATGAGTATGATAATTGGAGGTGCAGTTCCACCAATAAGTGCATAGTCATAGTTGTAGGGGCTGTATCCCCATTCATGGACGTTATTGCCGCAGTCAAAGCCATGAAACTAACCCCAGCGGCATCCCCATGATATCTCTGTCCAAGTCTTGCACACCGATATGGAGAGCGGAGATGGTAGAGAGATGTAAGGTATGAAACAAAATGTGTTTAGAATTTATCTGGTTGGTGGTTTTGACCATCTTGAAAAATATTAGTTAATTCGAAGGATTATCCCATATATTATGGAAAATATAAAAAGTTTGAAACCACCGACCAGTTATGGAGCCAGGGTTGATTGTTTAAAGTAGGAACTGGAAATTGAGAACACATTGCATGTTGAGCCACCAGCAACATCTGGATCCTTTCGGCATCAAACTTGAATGCTGAGCCGATAAAAAAGGATTTCCGGCAATAAACCTACAAAAACAGAAGAGCTTGACCAACAATTTATTGCTCTCCCACTAGCTTGTACATTGACCCCTGGTAAGCGCCACACTCCATAGCCAACTTCACCATGTCACCATTTCAGAGTGTTGGTAAGCCCTTAGAAAAACGACTATCATTTTGTTTCTGCCACGTTAAATATCGTTAAACCATTTCAAAAACATGCCAAGCAATGGTTTCCAAATGTTTAACTAGCATAGTAAGCTTCCCCGTATTTGTTGGCAAATATCTTGGTTGGTGGTTCGATGGACAATTTTCTCAAAATATGTCAAAACACCATCCAGCATCCACAACTTACAGTCAACAAGCCATTTTTTTGTAATCAATGCCTGCAACGCCACAGGCGGGCAGGGTTTGCGCTTCGAACATTTTCGAAGCGCAAGCAAAGCGGGGAGCCCATGGGAGCCCCGCAGAACTGGGAAGGTTGAGACGACTTAAGTCTATGACAACCTTGAAGTATGCAGCTTGATGCACCAGGAAAACACCTCAGGGTTGGCAATTCTGGTTTCAAACTGGCATACAGTAATCATGCGCAATCCATGAGCATGCAGTGTGACCAACACCAGAGCTGGCGCTGCCACCAAAAAAACGGTGTTGCAGCTCGGTACGGCCAAATTTGCACAACTAGCGGGTGAAATGGCGGCATTTTTTCGCCAGCCAACCACGGCCAACCACGGACAACTTCCAGTGGGTAACAACGACCTGGCGTAATCAACCAAGCTGACCATTTCTGGTGCCCCAAAACGTTGTTTCTATCATTTTCTGTCCCAAAGTCATTGTGATGCATCCATTAACTGCATGACATGTTCCAATGCAAGCACTTTATCCATATTTCACTATATATATATATATAATATATTGATATGTAAAATAGATATACATGTATATATGATCCCGGTCCCCGGTCCCGTAGCCCCCCCCAATGGTATGGTCCCCTACTCCTGACCTAGAATCTTTCATTTCCATGGTGTTTACAGTATGTTGGATGCAAAACCTCATATTTCCATGGTATTTGCACCAGTTTGGATCGAGAATCTCATATTTCCATGGTATGTACAGCATTTTGGATGCAAAACCTCATATTTCCAATACTACCTGTACTACCTATAGGACCACATCCACAGGGGGGAGGGGGAACCATGACCGTGGGGAGACTACCTACAGGACCCACACAACTCCCACATCCACAGGGGGGAGTGGGGAACCATGACCATGGGGGGGAGGGGGTCCCCGAACCTGGAACACACACACACACACTTGCGAAGTCATGAAAGACGGTCTCTTTTCATGAATGCAAAGTCTGATTACCTCATGGTAGATTGAAGGCATCACTCGGCCATACCGAGTTAAAAAAGGCCAAGCTTATCCGTTGACATTTGAATGTCAGGTTGTTTAAAAGAGAAACCAATACGGCTCAATCAAAAGTGATCATGAAATGACTGAATGACGGCATGCAGGTTCTTGGGTTAGCCTGATCCCATAAAGTACTAACAGATACGAATATGACCACCAGCTATGACCCCAACATATCGGGTATGTCATCCAGGTGCATCATGCAGGTACGTTTTCACAACCTAAGGTGAGCGTCTTCATTGGCACAAGACTCACCAAAGGTCCTTGTGCCCCCTGCTATGAATTAAGGTGCAACGGTATCCATAATTTATGGAAGAAAGCAGTTAAAAAAACTAGTTGGTTGAAATCAGCCGCAAAAAGTGAGGAACTCTTCGGTACAGAGCTTGACACACACAAAAAGGCACGTAGCCGGGCTTGTATTCCTTTAAAGGCGAGAATGGAAGACATCATCAAGAGATTCGTGAAAAAACCGCAGAGGAACATTTGCAACCTCATCAGCGTGTCAGTAAATATTTTTGCCACAGCCAAAAGGTTAGGTATGCTTGAACTGCCTTCTGTACAGGACGCGTTGGCAGTCTGTTTTGGAGAACCCTTTCTGTACATACAGCTGAATGAGTTGGTTGAGATCATCACGGACAAATTCTTTGGGAAACGTGTATCTGCGAATTAAGGTTGCACGGGACTTTAGTCCGGACAAGCGGAGACGCATGCTGCCAGCAGAATGGAGATGACGAATTTCCCATAGTGGAGGTACTTGGTACCTTGCGGTTCGTTGCACTACGTCAATGGTGAACCCAAGGAGTGTACCATCTTGGACGGTTTCCAACTCCACCGGCGCTTGATAAAAGAAACAATCGGAAAGCACTCGCATGGGCAGTGCGGAGCGAAAACGGTGGTCAAACAAAATGAATCTGTTGTCCACATATCTTGTGAACAGAAGCCTTTCTGTACATATAACCGAGATAGTGCGTGCAACGAACTCTGTGCTTGACAGGACGGAAATGAATATTTACGAATTAAATGAGCTCGACTCTTCAGTCCGCTCAAACGCAATCGGAGGGTTCCGGCTGAAATGATTGTTCTTTCAGAAACATCAGCATAAAAGCCGAGAAGTAAAATTGTCGGCAACCAGCTCCAGTTCGACTGGACTACCATAAAAGTCCAAGTCTGTAAACACTTGGAACACTGGAGCCTGAAGATGGTGCTTCTGTACAATGACAAAACGGCTGTCGACGTACCTGATTGCAAGATGATGAAAATTTGGTTGGGTCAGAACTTCTTGATAGGTACTGCTCCACGATCTCTCGATAAGCGTCACGGCCAAGTTCGAAAGTGTCGGAGAAATCTGACTTCCTATTCCAGCGCCCCTGATTTGGCGCCATACAACACCAAGTGCTGTGAAAAAGTGAGTCCGCTGTACACGTGGGTCGACCCCCTGCCTTAAAACTGAAAAATTGAAAAACAGAAAAACAGAAAAAAAACGCAAATCCCTTGGAAACAGGGGTTGACTCTACACACTAAGGCCTATCGCCGCTGGTATTTGTCGGCCACAACGCACTGTGAATATCTGACAAAGCGAAGCCTTTCTGTACATATAACCGAGATAGTGCGTGCAACGAACTCTGTGCTTTACAGGACGGAAATGAATATTTACGAATTAAATGAGCTCGACTCTTCAGTCCGCTCAAACGCAATCGGAGGGTTCCGGCTGAAATGATTGTTCTTTCAGAAACATCTACATAAAAGCCGAGAAGTAAAATTGTCGGCAACCAGCTCCAGTTCGACTGGATTACCATAAAAGTCCAAGTCTGTAAACACTTGGAACACTGGAGCATGAAGATGGTGCTTCTGTACAATGACAAAGCGGCTGTCGACGTACCTGAT